CGTCAGCAACGATGGCAATGGTGGCCTGCTTCCGGCCTGCTTCCTTGGTGGCTAGGAGGAGCGGACTATACCCAATATTGCATGTGACCATTGAGAAACAGCATCCTATGTGAAAGCAAGCATATACTCACTAGAATATATGTATGGATTATAAAATGTCTGTCTTACTTTTTGTCCTGCTTTAGCTGTTTTTTCATTGACATAAATAGCATAGATGCAGAAATGTCATTGTTTTATTGTTTAGGTATGATAAAGCCCTAAGGCAGTGGTTTCTAAACCTTGGTCCCCCAGATCTTGATCCAAATCTGGTATTCAGAACTCATCAATATTGAATAGAGGGACCAGAGCTTCAGAACCACTATTCTAAGGCACTCACTTTTGAAATGTGGAATATCAAATATTTGTATTCATGGAAATGTCTTGTGGGGATGGCAGTGGTGATGACAACAGCGATGATACATGAATAAATGCACCCTTGAAATAACCATATTCCTTGAAAATATTCCTTCCTTCCCCTCTCTCCTTCAGTTGCCTTCTTTCATCTCTAAGAATCCCTTCAAAAAATAAACAGTCTTTCATTTCGATTTGGTAGATATGTAATTAAAATGAATAGATTATTTTGTCACAGGAACTCTAGTAATGAAGACTGTGTTGATGACAATTACAATCCCTAATCAAGTGGATGTCAGACAATGAGCTTATTCACACATGAGGTTTAAAATAGTTTTTGCATGGGTTATGTTTGCAATGCCAATATATGACCTAGATTTGCCATTCCTACAAATCCCTTTCCCTTGCTTTCTCTGTTTCTTGAGAGTAAAATACAAGTGACTTCCCTCTTTTGAGTGGTGTTGATGCACTTGAGCCTTTAGACAATTAATAACAATATATGACAGAATTTTGCTTGAGCTTAGTGTCAAATCATACTGTTATGTTTACATTATTGGTTTTGATAGAGGGCATTTTCAGACACACTCACACACACGTGTGTGTGTGTGTGAGAGAGAGAGAGAGAGAGAGCAAGAGAGGAAAAATGTCCTCTGTCAAAGCAAATAATGTAAATATAGCAATAGCCAAAGAATTTCTAATTTTCTCATTCACATGGTGCAGCCTATGGTTTTTAATGATAAAGTACAACTCTAAGGCTTTCCAAATATACCCAGTAGTATTCAGTATCCCCTTTGAGAAACAGTGTTAGAAGTTTTAATTGTTCTTGCTAAGTCATTTAAATAGAGATGATGCAAGAAATCTTACCCCATGAGACATTTTTTAGTCAAAATGACAATTATTCTTCCCTCTAAAATCATTGAATGTTTCACCTGAGTGGAAAGCTCTACGTTTGCTTCCAAATGTCACTGTAGAGGAAATATAATGGTAAATGTAATGCCAACATTATAACTAAAGTAATTGTTTTTGGAAGTTAAAGAGTACACAAGACTGATGGTTCCTTGTTTACATAGTGGTGTCACTGTTCTGAATTTCATGTTCAGGATCTTGTTTTGGTTAGGAAATTCCTACAAAAATGTAAGGATAGATCTTGGAAAACCACTCCCATAATTTCCTAACAGATGGTGGGAAATCTCTCATAACTGAGCAGAAGTTAGCATATGTAATTTTTTCACCTACACCTGACCAGGCTGGTTGGAGAATTCCAGTCCTCCAAATTAATTTTTTCAAATGTTTACATAAGAATAGCATTGCTTGTTTTTCGAAGTTTTGTTGAAAATATTGCTTTCAGAAATGATGATCGTGTATTTTTGAAAGTCATTCATTATTGATTGAAAGTTTGAAAGGTCAAAGCAAATCCTGTTAACTTCATCTTTCTTACTACCATGAATGGTATCTGTACATACCTAGTTACCGTTGGTTTGTGAGAGATGGGGTGTCCCTCATTATAACTGAAAAACAAACATCCAGGAGTTTTCTTAGCTATGTTTGCAAAGGTTTTTTTTGTTCTGAATTTGTTTACTTTGATGTGACTTGCAAGTAGATTTACCAATTTAGTTCCCTTTGCAATAAAGATGAGATGATAGGAGAAAATAATCTTTATTGGATTTTAGGCTATTGCATAGCTATTGAAGCCTTGGCAAAATCCGGCTTTCAATATACTGTATTAAGTTTTGAACTTCAGCAACTGGTCATCTTAAATCTGTGCAGCTGTTTCACTGTTGCTTATTCTATGATGCATCTTGATGGCACAATATTCAGTTGAGGTACAATTGCTAGAGTGATTACTGCAGTAACTTCAATATTTCCCTTAACTGCAACAAAAGGAGGCATAAGGGATCAGGTACCTCAGCTTACAAAGTTCTGTAGGAGAATCTTGATGATTTCTCAGAGCAAGACATTTTTCTGTACTAAGTGCAACTTGTAGATGATATAGTCCATTTTTGGTTCTATGTAGCCCTCCAGATGTTAAACTCCAACTCCTAGCAGCTGTAGTAAGTATTGAGGCATTTGGGGAATTAGAGATAAACAAACCTGTATTACCTTAAAACAAATCAACAAGAAAGGGTTGGTGAGAATTTCATTTCACTCTATATACATTTACTTAAAATTTGCAATTTATTTATATACAGGGTAGATGAAAAAAGGACCCAAAACCAAATCCATCCATCCATTTGACTGCTCAATTTCGAACTGTCTGATTTTGAATTCTTGTGTTTTTCACCATGGTAGAATAATTTTTAAAAATTCATTTGAATCCATAATATTAAATATTATGTATATTTAATATATAGTTTAACCAGGTACAATGTGGTCTTTTGCATAATGTGTTTAGAGTAATGTGAATTTGACCAGCACTAATGGAGATTTTGTTTCGGTTGATTCTTAAACTCTTTACTAAATTCTAAAAGGTTTTTCATATTTCAGACAGAAAGCATGTGATATTTTTTTTTAAAGAAATGTGAGAGAAAACAAATCTGACAGATTTTCCCCATTCTTGTTGATGAGTGCATTTCAAATTTTTGCCTTGTGATTCATTCTTCTAATATATCTTTTTGCTTCCTCCTCCAAGGTAAAATTCAATGCTTGGTTAAGAAATGCTGCATTATGAGTCACTAAACCACTCATACAATATTTTTCTTTGTTCCCATAGGAGCATTCAAGACTGTCAGCTCTGCATATCAGACATCGTTCAATGCCAGTAGGCGGATAGCTGGATCTTCTACACTACTGGCTAAGGCTTTGGAAAACAGGCAAAGTGCTGAGAAACTTGAAAGTCGCCTTACAGGTCTTGGGTCAGAATTAGAAGCTCTCCAGAATGAAATGGCATTCTCTCCAAACTTGACTCCAGTCATTAATAAGGTGAAACTAATATTTAAGTGAGGCCTAAGTAACCTAAAGCACCAGGTCCTATCTGATCTTGGAAGATAATCAGGGCCAGCCCTGGTTAGTACTTGAATGGGAGACCACCAATGAATGCTAGGTGATGAATACCAGGAATACCTATATTCCAGCAGAAAGAATTGGCAAACCACCTCTGAGTGTTCCTTGCCTAAGAAATCCATATGAAATTCATGGGGTCACCAGTGAAAGGGTTTTTGAAGGCAGGAATGCATGCACACATACACACACAAACATGTTTAATTTCTGCCAAAAAATCTGAATAGCTGGATTGCTCAATGTGTAATTTGGATATAGTGCCCCCCTCCCCCCGTTGCCCGAGTTTGACAGCGCATGAACATCTGATGCTTTATAAAACAATTTTGGGCAAAATCACTTCTTTGCTTTTAATCTTTGTTTCGACTTTTCTCTTATTGCCATGGAGATTCATACCAAGATCTCCTGTTGCTATGCAAATCTTTCATTTTGCTGTCTTGCATAACAGTTCTTAAGTAACATTTGTGTAAATGGATGTGGGATAATGGCATGGATAACTCTTGACATTCATATGGAATCTTACTCACATGGGCTCTAGAGTTGCTAGGAGCTGAACAAAACCTTCCTAGAGGTGCAGGAGATGCTGACTGATTTTCTTCTAGACCAGTGGTTCTCAGCCTGTGGATCCCCAGATGTTTTGGCCTTCAACTTCCAGAAATCCTAACAGCTGGTAAACTGGCTGGGATTTCTGGGAGTTGTAGGCCAAAACACCTGGGGACCCACAGATTGAGATCCACACTGTTCTAGAATGTTTAGTTTTCCTGTTTAGTTTTCCTAATATTCTGCAGTTGTTTGTCCATTCAGTCTCTTTGGCTGCTCTTTTCCCAGCCAAAAACGGTGGGGGAGAAGTGAATTGTCTCTCTTAGAAGTCTGTAAAGAAATTTTAATAAAAATAGAATTTACTTTTAGATATGTTTCAAAACTAGGTCTGGACTTATGGTCCTTTCCAGTTTTTTAAAAAACAATTAATCAATTCATTTATTCATTTTATTTCTTTGGTAGTTAGTTTATTTAGTTTTGGGAGAGGCAATATGTACAGCCCTGGGCGGTACCAAGGGATGGAAAACCTAAGACCCAGTACATTTATCCACCTCTGATTTATAGAAATCTCATTGTTATTTGTGTATAGGGTCTGAGTAAAAAGAAAAGGGAGAAGTTTTACTGGAAACTGGAACACCAGCGAGCAACTCTTTACCAAGGCTCTTTACCAGAATAAGGAAAACTCTTAGCAATATGTCCTCAAATGCACTTTAATATTGATTTAGGATTGTCTGCGCGTCCTCATCTCTCTCTGAAAACCCTATCCTAGTTTAGCCTATCTTGTTCATGCCCAGCATTTTTAATTTTTTTAATTTTAAATAGGTTTTAAATGCTGTATGTTATTGATATTGTTATTGTTTATTGCTTATTGTGTATTTTCTGTTTTTGAGTTTATTTTAACTGTTTTGTATTGACTGTTGGAGGAAAGTTCTGAGAGTGCCTTGGACTGCGAGAAGATCCAACCAGTCTATCCTCCAGGAAATAAAGCCGGACTGCTCACTGGAGGGAAGGATACTAGAGACAAAGTTGAAGTACTTTGGCCACATCATGAGGAGACAAAGCCTAGAGAAGACAATTATGCTGGGGAAAGTGGAAGGCAAAACGAAGAGGGGCCGACCAAGGGCAAGATGGATGGATGGCATCCTTGAAGTGACTGGACTGACCTTGAAGGAGCTGGGGGTGGTGACGGCCGACAGGGAGCTCTGGCGTGGGCTGGTCCATGAGGTCACAAAGAGTCGGAGACGACTGAACGAATGAACAACACAATTATTTGTGATCGCCTTTGTTTATTGATGTGCTGTGGGCTTGGCCTCATGTAAGCCGCACCAAGTCCCTTGGGGAGATGGTAGCGGGGTACAAATAAAGTTTATTATTATTGTTGTTGTTGTTGTTATTATTATTATTATTATTATTATTATTATTATTATTATTAAGGCTGTAATTCCATGTAGTTTGTAGTTTTTAAAATAATATTTTATTGAGCATTTTAGAGTACATTAAAAGTTATAATGATTAAAAACAAGAAAAAAACAATACGAAGTAAGAATACAAAACCAGAAAAGAGAGAGAAAAAGAAAAGAGAAACAAAACAAGAAAAACTCCTTTTTATTTCTTTCACCACACTGATATCTCTGTTGTATTGCTTAATGATGTGCTATTTAGCAAATTTACTTGTAAAACCTCCTTGGGGAAGTCAAAACTATTTAGTAGATATGTAGGGAAATGGAACTAGTTATTTTCATGTTCTGTTTTTAGTTATTGTTTCTTGTCCTTTTCCTTGCTCTTATTGTAGGGTATTGCATTTTGCCTTGAGTCTGCCTGATGAAAGGCAGCATAGAAATGGTTTAAGTAAACCAATATTATGTAGCTCTCTGAATCGTGTTTCTCCCTGGTCTCTTAATGGCACCATTGAGTTGATGAAATGGTTTTTCTCTTCAGATTTGCAGTGGTATCAGATCGGAGATCTGCTCCCCTGGGGAATGTGTTGGAGAACTGTGCCTCAAGCAGAACACAGTAGAATGTAGTGCTGGCCTGAGCTGCAAGGGGATCTTTTCCCTTTCTGGCAACTCCATCCAAACGGCCCAGAAAACAACCCAAGAGATTCGCAACCTGAGTATCCGACTTCAAGAAACTACACAAATGGTGTGTGAATGTGTGTGTGTCTGCACATGTTCATGTTTGAATGCAGAATGAACAATGGGGATAGGGCAATTACTATTTTCTTTTCAAGGAAAAAGTGATAAAACAATGGAGATTTTTTTTAGAAGCACGGAAACATCCATTTTGTTTATACCATCTGACTTTCATTGAATTTATGAATCGGGCTGTAAGCAAATCTTACATAAAACAGCTATGTTAAACTTTAATTTCAATTCTGGTGATCTTTAGAATCTGAATTATTTACATAATGATTATTTCTATGAGTTTGTGAAGGGATCTAGTCTTACAGAAACTTGGAAACACCTAGTCATGAGATATCCAAGATAGGGGTCTTTCACAATGAAAGTTATTACAATTTTGGAAGTGACTCCTGCAAAACTAAAGAAAAGGGGCATTCATGATTTTAATGCCTATGGATTGGTTCAGAGGCACTTTCTGCTCAAACCATCTTCTTTTAGTGATTATTTTAACCTCCTTTTTTGCTTCTTTGAAATCCTATGAAAGATAGAGTCACAAAAAGATATTCATTTTGTTGCTAAAAGGCACTCTTGGAATCAATTTGAAGTTATTAGTAAATATTTTTAGGATGTCCTATACAGTTGCTGAGTCTGCTTTGTATCCTTATAGATCAGAGATATGGAAGCAGCTGCCAGCAAAATTCAGACAAATGCCCGAAGCCTGGGAGATCAAATGAGTACAACTCGGACGCAGCTAGAGGAGGATGTTCAGCGCACCCAGCAGTTCATCCGCCAAGTCCGGAACTTCTTGTCAGGTAGGGCCAATTCATGAAACATTTGTACTTATTCATTGTATTAGTTTGACCATACTCAACCTGACACTTTTCAGATGTGCTGGAATGTACTCACATTGCAGAAGTCTGACACTGTTTTAACTGCAATGGCTCAGTGTTATATAATTCTAGAAGGCTTCCTATCAGAGAGCTCTGGTGTTACACCAAACTACAAATCTCAGCATTCTGTAGGACAAAGCTATGACAGTTATAAATGGAGTCAAAATACTATAATCCCACAATGTTGATTATATTTCACATCTGACTAGTGTGTTGAAATACTCTACATATCTTGAAGTCATGAGAATGTGTATCAATGTACTAGAGCATCTTCCACAAATCCTGATTTTTTTATACTGAGTAAAAAATTTTAAACCAGTGAATTTTAATGTTTCACTAACCATTCTTGAAAATGTAAAAATATATTCACATCTCATTCATATCCCAAATGGATATGAAGCAGCTTCTGCTGATATCAGAAAAGAGATTACAAGAAATGAGATCACAAACCAGATGTGCTCATAGAAATGGCTTAGTTCTTACATTTATCTCAGTTTTTTGGAGGCAACACAGCAAATGGAAAATATGAAATAAATTTGCAACTATTCGAAGTTGGGTGCTACTATATAATTCCTTCTGCTCTTTTAACAGCAGTGATTTGCTAGTTTTATTCCTTTAGTTTTTTAAACTCAAGAAACTTTGTTATACAATATCTTCCATCAGTTGCCTATATACAGTCTCTGTTGGTATTGAAATGGAATCCATTTTGTTTAGTCGCTGTTTTCCCAGGTCTTTAGGCAGAAGTTGGACTACTTTCTGTGTTATATGAGAACAGTGAATTCTTTCTGAACCAAGGCCACATTTTAATGTGGATAAAAAAACTTGAATGGTAATACATGTGCACATGTCAGAAAAAGATTATACTACCCCTGAAATTGGAAGATAAGCACGGATGTAATTTCTTAAATCATGTATTTCTGAGTGAATCCCACTGTGGTCAAGGAAGTGAGATAACTGTGAGAATTGGTTGGCCCTCATAGAAATTGGTTTATAGATCCTTCAACATTTTGGACATTTTCCTATGAATTCTAAATTCATATAATCCTATCTGTTCAAAATCCAACTTATCTTCTGACGTGAATGAAGAGCCACGGTGTGCTATGTCACCCTGCTACATAACATCACATACATGCCATTACTTGTGACCTGTTTGTACAGTACAAGCTTCTTCCAGAACGAAGCTGAAATATATACAGATGTATGTATACTGGCATCTCTTTTACAAACACGCATACCATACGCATAGACATTCCATGAAAGTACATCAGACCTTCATTGACTTCATGAGTGGAGGGGAGGTCAGTGCAACATGATGCTCACGTGATTAAGTTAGTGAGATTTTGGATTCTCAACAGAGCTTTAATTTCTTTGCAATCCTCCTTTTCACTTCCAATTTGCATTTTACATCTTGCCACTTAACTATCCAATCTAATTCCTGGCTGGTTTCCTTCTTCTGACATATTGAAACTGCATTTTTTTAAAAAAAGATCTTAATGTTTTCAGCACGAAAATGTCCTCATCACATGCTTTTCTTTTTCTCATGCATTATCATCAGTTTATATTTATCTTGTAAACATCACTTGGGGGCTTTGCGTGTCATTCTGGCAAGTCCATATTTAACAAATGGCCTATTTGAAAGGCTTACTTTCTAAACTTATTTCCTTTTTCGTGCCTGAGTTAGGGGACATGTCCTTTCATTGTTAAAATTCTAGCAATGCATACTGAGGAACAAGCATGCTATGAAGTGACAGCTTTCTGGGGAGAATACTGAGCATAAAAGATGCCTTAAAGGGGGTGATGAATCTTGAAATATTGAGAGCTCTAGGATGTGGCAGGTGCAGAGAATGATGGAGAAGAGGTCGCCTGCTGTCTGTAAACAGACTGAATTATAAGCATTAGCGAGATCAAGAGAGGAGAAATGCAGCAAACGTAGGCAGAACCCATGTCTATGTGGATTCGCTCTGTACCTTTATCAAAAAGCAGTAGATTTTATTGTTCCTGGCTACAATATATAAATATTTTCTTTGGCAACTGAAGGATAATTCTGTATAATATGAAACATGTTTACTTTAAGCAGGCCTGTGCAAATTATGGCCCTTCATTTGTTCTTGGACCATAACTTCTATTAGCCCTAGCTCTTATAGGCAATGCCTTGGGGTCTTACTTTGTCCATCTTGGTTTTCCACACAAGGAACATAAACTCACATGGTTTTTGTTCTGACTTTTTAAATGTAATTTTTGCAGACCCAGACATTGATGCTGCTACCATCCAGCAGGTCAGTGAGTTTGTTCTCTCCCTTCATCTTCCTACTGACTCTGCTACGGTTCTCCAAAAAATGAATGAGATCCAGAATTTGGCTGCTAAGCTTCGGTGCCCTGAGGACATCATTGCCCAAACAGCTGGGGATATTGCTAAGGCCAAAAAGCTACTGCAAGAAGCTGAACAAGCCAGGTGAAAAGAAAATGGTTTCAGTAGCTTTGGATCATGAAAGGCAAATGATGGAAATTATCCAGTGCTTCAGTGATAGTTGACATTGGTATATTTATAGTATTGTTTAGAAGCTTCCTTTTTTACTGCTGTTTTACCCTCACATCACTGCGTAAATCCACTTATGAAGATCAGTCCTCATGCTGAATTCCAGCCATTTTTAAAAATGCCATAAATTACTCTCATCTGTTAATCTTGTATGTTGCCCAAATAGCTCATTATATAGGATAGAATATAAATAATGAAATAAAAATGAATGTTGGAAGCATTGCTGCTTCTAAAAGGTAGATATTCAGGAGGAGTTTGCATGACGTTAGTAGAGAACTCTGTTAACAACATCCAAAATTGACTTATGCAGGGATAAACTGAACTGCAACTTCATTTATAACTAATAAGATCTGGGTCCTTATACATGACTTCTAAATGAGCATCAAAGATGTGGAATTACATTTTGCCTACTTGTTCTGCTTTAAAGCTGCTCTATCATTTCCCCTTTCTTTATTTTAAAAAACTAGATTAAAGGACCAGATAGGCTGTTTTCCATGTTGCTGGGCACAAAATAAGTGTGTAGGAATTAACTTTTCATAAAAGTCAATCTCACCTTTTCATGTAATATTTTCATAGGAATCGAGCCAATGCTATTGAAGGCAATGTGGAAGATGTGGTGGAGAATTTGAGACAAGCAAGAACAGTACTTCAGGAGGCTGAAGATACTATCAGTGGCTCCAGTTATTCCCTCCGACTCATCCAAGACCGCCTTGATGAGGTAGCTAACATTTGCCAAGCTCCTGTCATTGAAATCTTATAGTAGAATAAAATGTAGCAAACACTGTCTTTGTTCAGGAATGATGGTCTTCAGTAATTTGCTAAGTATTGTTCTCTCTTTTGGGAATGTTCAGATACAGACTGTCCTTGGTCCATCTCAGCAGAGTTTGAGGGCCATCAGTGATCAACTGGACACCTTCACACAGAGCTTTAGTCAGCTACAAAACAAAGCCAGTCAGAACCTGCGGAGGGCTGCAGATGCTCAACAGAGAGCAACAGAAGCCATTGATGAAGCAAGAAGCACTCAGCAGGTATAAAAACAATGAAAACAATTTCTCCAGGCATTCTAACTATGTATTAGGATAAACATGAGGCAATATAATTCTATAAACTAGTTGCTGAAAATGTAAGAGAGATAGTTTGTTATTATATCCCAATTGTACAGAGCTTGCCTAAATCAGAACTTTGAAGAATTATGCTTTTGGATGACCATTCTGAGGATCTCGCCTCTTGCATAGCCATCATGTTGGTTGTAACATTCTAGGAATTGTGGATCAAAAAACCCCCACAAACCCTTTCCCTATTTGGATCTATTAATCACACTCTTAAACAGCAAGGGGAAGAAATTCCAAGGGTGTAATGAAGAATAACTGTTTTAGGACAAATGGAAGTGAGTGAGCATGATAGAAGGGATGCTCGATAAAGAACTGAAGTGATCAGACAAAGGACCTCCTATACTGCAATATGAAATTAAGATTATCTGTTTTGAACTGGATTATATGGCAGTGTAGATTCAGATAATCCAGGTCAAAGCAGATAATGTGGATTATCTGCTTTGATAATCTGGATTATATGACAGTGTAGTTAGTTAGGAGGGGAACATGAGTAAGCAAGAAATCCAGTTGTATGGATAAACTGAAATAAGTATTAAAATGGCAACACGTTTTATGCAGTGTTGTTGTTTATTTGTTCAGTCACTTCTAACACTTTGTGACCTCATGGACCAGCCCAAGCCAGAGCTTCCTGTTGGCCGTCACCACCCCCAGCTCCTTCAGTGTCAAACCAGTCACTTCAAGGATACCATCCATCCATCTTGACCTTGGTCGCCCCCTCTTCCCTTTTCCTTTCATTTTCCCCAGCATCATTGTCTTCTCTAAGTTTTCTTGTGTTCTCATTATGCAGTATTACATACCAAAACCCATGGATGGAATTACACATAGTGTGCTAAAAACAGGAATGAATGAAGTTTGGATTCCCTTGACTTCCATGATATCAACATAATGAATCCTTTAGATATTTTACTTCTCCCATCGTTATTCTTCCCTCACAGAGAATGGAACAAGTGACCAAAAAATATTCAGAACTGAAAAATCGGATAGGACAAGGAGTGAACATGGGTGCACAAAGGACTCGGGTCCAAAATGCTCACATGGAAGCTGATACATTGTTTAAAGAAGCTTTGAATATGATGGCCAAAATGGAAGGTAAGGTGTACGATAGAGGATTGTGAAAAGAACTGTTAACAGTCACAGAAAATCTCATTAGATAGAATACTACTGAAATAAGTAGAATTTTAGTAATAACATTGTAGATACTAAATGGGAAAATGCTTTTGAGACTCAACTAGATCTGCCACAGCAGACTCTCATTTTACATTTTAAATGTCCCCATTTTCCCCAGCCTTCACGTGTCTTAGGTTCAGGAAAGATGGCTGTTAAACCTGGAAGTAAACTGGAAGTCAACCCTACTTCTATTTAACTGTTTACCACTGAATGTTGTGCTTGTTCTTGGGCATGTTCTTCATGACAAAGCCTGTGCAACAGTAATAAATCCTCTGTTGATTTTCAGGATTCTATGGAGAAATGAAGGATTAAATTTTATTGCGCACTTCTGCCTTTTCTTTTGATCTGATGTTCATGCCAAGGGACTGTAAACACTGTATGTTATCTAGCCGCTCACAGGCTCACTTCATAACAAGCAATTACTGCAAGCCAAGTGCCAGTTTTTTTAAAAAAACAAAATGTTCCATTTTTATATTTCAATGTGAAGCTTCCCCTATCTAATGGCTTTGCTCAATATGTTTTGGGAAGCAGCCAATGTGTAGACTAAATGCTTTGGCCCCTGTGCAGGTGCAGCATGAATAACTAACTGGCCCACAGCCAGAGATTTTATTAGGAAGGGGTATTGGTGTTGCTCTCATTGATAAAGCTGTGTCGCTGATGAATGCCTTTCATTGAAGGTGCTTCTTTGCACCAGCAACTTGGCAGCTGGCTGCTGCCAGCCAGTTACAACTGCTTACAGTTGACTGAAAGCTGCAAGGAATGTTGATATTATTAAATAGGCCAGCAGGCAATTTCCCATGCAGAACATGAGGAGCATATATTAGCAGGTTCAGTTGACGTCAATGTCAAAACTAATTTGGCCCCATCGAAAGGAGCTGATGCTTTATCACGGGGAAATGCTAAAGTGATTAGGATGCTATGCCATGGAGTAGCAATTCCGTTATGTTGGGTCAGACCCTGTCAGTGGTTTAGGGAGGCTGAATGAGACTGATTCTAGCTACTGTTGTGGAAGGGCAGAAAACATGGCCTACTATTTAGACACAGATGCCGACTGCTAAATATGCTTAGTAAAAACAATAAATGATATTTCCTGGAACTTCTAAAGTAATTTATATGAATGTGAACCAATTATAAATTGGTTCACAAAATTCTTTGTATTGTTCCTGGCTGTCACTCTACTATTTTTTGCAGCTAGAAATTTCGCATGCATTTATACATTTCCTCTTGGGGCTATATGTCATGGGATGAGACCGGTGGGTTGTAAAATTCCACCAGGGATACTTATGCCTTGTGTCTCCCAACCAGCAGTTGACCTACCTGCTTTCTTTCTGGGTGACCAAAAAGGATGGGGGCAGCCATCACAGATCAGCAGACAACCCCTAGGAGATCCATGTTCCTATGAGTGAGATAGCTAGTTCCTTGGCTGTGAATCAACCTCCCATCACTATCTCAGACCATAGAATGGCCAAGGCAAGGTGCAAATAGAAAACAGGCACATGGCTTGGAATGAGGGCATAGCAGGAGAAGCTGCTCAATTCCTCCATCCAATTTAACCAAGACATAATAAGTAACAGAACTTTATCAACTGTGTGGCTTGAAAAATATAAAACTAATTCTGTATAAATGCACAAACAGTTGTGCACCCATAGGAACATTGCTGGCATACAAAACTATGGGGGGAAGACTGAAGAAAATAAGAAGGATTTTTTTCAGAGTTAAACATGACCTTGATAGAATAAACAGATAGATTTAATAGCAGGGAATATGTGTTATAAGATAAGTAGAGTTTAGCTTATCTCTTGTACTCTGATCTGTCAGTAATTAAAAAGTAAAAAACAAAACAAAATACAGTCTGGCCTATTTTTAACACTTGAATGTATTTTTTTATTATGACTCCCAGAATTCCCCAACCAACATTACCACTGATTATGTTGGTTTGGGGATTCTGCAACAATAATCCATTTTTTCTTAGTAGAAAATAGATGAAAATATTAAAGAATGAAAGGGAGAATATAAAGCAAAGACAAGTGTTTTCTTGTGTACAACCTATTTGTCATTCTTTCCTCAGGTATAGGAGCAGAGATCCAGATGAGTAACAAGGAGCTTGTCCTTGAGTCAGCCAAGCTGGCAGGCTTAGAAGGAAAAGTGGAAACAATTCGTGACTATATCAGCCGCCGAGTTACATATTATGCCACCTGCACGGATTAGAACAGGTTGTTGTTATTTCCCAATGGATGCCTTTTCTTCTGTGTTTTCCTACATGCAAATAAAGCAACATTATCAGCCTTTAATATTGGAACTTTCCAAGTTTTCTTATTCTTAGAATTCACCTGTTGAATCAATTTTTCTAATGAATGCTTTTTTTTTTGCAGAGGATGTGTTTAATATGAGCATAGGAGAAACAAGATTAAATCTGGATTTTACAAGGGTAAAAATCATAGATAGCTATGAAGGTATTTCAACAAGATCAATGATGGCATATCTCTTGGCCAACCCACTGCATTTCTGGTTGCATACCACTCAAATCAAAGAAATCAAATTTCCTAGTCACAGGGCCACTTCCAGTATTGTCAATAACCAGCAGTCACTTGGAAACAATAGTCTTTATTAAGCATAGTATAACTAAACAATTACTGGCTTGGAAACAAAATGTAATTCCACCAAGAGAAAGGAATGCTGTGTAAATTGTCTCTATCCACTGGAACCAGTACAGATACTCCATGCAAGTTGCAGTGAAACAAATGGCAGCTGTGCTTGGCTCATTGTGCCCATATCATAAATGAAAGAGACACAAATTGAGTCAGCATGGGATGCTTTCTGCTTAGATCACATGCACTCAGCACAAAACAATAGCAACAACCACACACATACACCAGGCAATTACTCTCATATTTTAGTGAACTTAGCAGAAATATAACATGCCCTCCCGCAAAGAAGATGTAACCTTATGGAAGGATGCAAATAAATACACTGAAACTGCTAGCAGAAGCCTGTATCTTTCCTTCATAAAAATGTTTCCCCAGTTTGTATAAATGATCCTCCTAACATTTCAAGAGAATTGCACCATCCGATTCCTCAGGCCTATTAATGCGCAGCACTTCAAGGAAAGGCCACTGCCTTCTGAGAGCACAGCTCTTCCTGGCAGAATTCTGGTCAAGTCCTTTTCTCTTCTTGAGCAACTGAGGCTGGAGTTTGAAGTTTTGAAGAGAATCCAACAGTCCTTCTGAAAGACATATGAAAATTATAACCTATATAACTTCTGACTGAAGTTAGTTTACAATTAATTCTTCATTTGTGATTATTTGCTACAGGGCTGTAGAACAGGCATCCTTTGGTTCTGTAGACAATTTGGAGCTAAACAAGATGGTACATTTCACAACTTTGGGGACAGGGGAATAGAGGTGTTCCTGGAGGACATATTTCAGTCATAGGACTTTATTGTGATCACCAGTATAGTTTGATCTTACTGTGCTTTGTTTTGTGATTGGTCACTAGAGAGTAAAAACATGGGCATAATGTGTAAAGCCCACTAGAGGATGAAAAGGGGGGATTTATTGCACAATATATGCATTTCCATTAGCAGCTAGTTCAGTACACACAGTATTATTTGCAGAGTTCTTTGTCATTGTTAATGCTAGAATTCATTGCATCCCCTCTCCAAGATTAGTGTCCACACTAGGTGACCATTCATATAAAAGAATTATAGCTCTATTATTTTAAATATAATTGTATTAATTAAGAACTTAAAGTTCTTAATAATTCTATACATTTTTTGCTTAATCCCTAATCTGGGATTTGCAGATTAGGGAGGGGAATTTTGAATTATCAGCAAGAGAGCTCTACTGCCTCACCAAAGTACAAACCCAAGGATTTCAGTTAAAGTGGGATAATAGTGTTATAATTCAGTAGTGTTAATGAGCCTCTGGTCAGGAGGAAATGGGATACCTAGCGAAAAATCCCTGTTCACTAAGAACCAATCAAAGATATACGAATAGCAATTCTGCACCATAAGTGGTACATTAATCTTAAGTACAATATTTTCTATCACTAGAAAGCCCTTGTGTAATGTCCAGATCTTGACACACTTACCTGTAATGGTGTGCTCGTGATATGGCTGACTTTCCTATCACATCACCAAACAAACTCCAGTCTGCCCAGTGCCAAAATATGAATGGTTATTTTTTGCTGGAACAAGGACTTCTGATTTGAAATGACTGAATTTTGAAATAGAAGAAAGAAAACAAAACAAAACAATTTTAAATGTGAATAGAAGGAAGCAACACAACAACAGACACAAAGTAATAGAAGTCTTCCAGAAGATGGATTCCAAATCCCCTAATCTCTTATGGGATTATCCCTTATGGCTGATGGGAGTCAGTCTTGGACTAATGGGAGACAGAGGTTAGCAACATCTGAATGGTTACACCTTTTCCACATCTGTCTTGTAATTATATATTAGTGTACCTTACATAAATAGAAGTGAACTAGCTGAAGCATGGATTCTTTATATATCTATTAGTTGAGTAGATAGTGAACTATTCAGTTTCAGTAATCATGACATATATTTGAAACTCAGACATAAAATCCTTATGACAGAATGGCATCTCAACAACCTAATTTTTCTCAGCATGGTTTATCTTTCATACACAAATCTGAGCCACAAATCTGGAATCTGACCAAAAGTTGTTTCTCAGTGTCCACTTGACTCACAGTGACATCCAGTCCCTAACATAGGATAAAGCTGATTAATGTCGGGGGTGCTCCATAGCTTTCCTGAAGCTGCTCCACACTTTGAGGTGTGTGCGAACAACTGAGGATTGCCCCACTCCCCTCTCCAAGTTGTGCAGGTGCTTTCATTGACATCAGCACACTCTCTCAGCCTCTGGGGTAAGCAATGGCAAACCTCTCTGCAAATCCTGCCAAGAGAACCCTGTGATGGCTTGGTCTTAGAGCTATCATAGATTGGAAATCACTTGAAGGTACACCACCACCACAACAGTATGCTACAGTAGTTTGAGCATTGTAATACAAGTCCAGGCTCAGCCACGGAACCCATTGGATGATCTTGAGCAAGTCACACACTTAACATCTGAGATGTGCAATAGCAAACCACCTTTGTACAAAAATTGCCAAGAAAACACTGTGATAGCTTCACCTCAGGATTGCTATAAGTTAAAGGCATGCAATAATATCAACAGTAGCATTTGCTATGCAGTGAGATTGAAGCTTTTGGGAAAAGATCTCTGATGTAATTGACTTTTGTATTGTTATAATTGATCCCAACTGTCCTTGCTGTGGCCTCTGACGGAGAAAACAGCAGACAGCATCTGTTCCACTTAATCCCTTATCCCACTGCCATTCCCCTTTCCTTGTGTGACCTGTCGTATTAAGATTGTAAGCCTGAGGGCATAGAAATATTAGTCCAATAACATCACTGTTTGTATTGACATTTTTGCACCTTGGTTTGTTTTGGGTTTCTTATTTGTAGAATTGGTTTCAATATTTTGTTAATTCCTCTAGTACAGGTTGAGTTTTTCTTATCTAGAAATCCAAATTGCTCCAAACCTGTCTATGTGGGTGGCTGAGATAGTGTCACTTTTGGTTTTTGATGGTTCAATTTTGTTTCTCCCACAAAATTATTAAAAAATATGGAGTATAAAATTATATTTAGGGTATGTGTATAAGGTGTATGTGATACATTATAGATATGCAAGTGATCCAAAATTCACTTGCCTCCCCTCGAAATTCTAAATGAGGCATCCTCAAACTGCAGCCCTCCAGCTCTTTGGGCCTCCAACTTCCAGAAGCCCTAACTAGCTTGTTCAATTGTCAGGAATTCTGGGAGTTGAAGGCCCAAATAGCTTGAGGGCCGCACTTTGAAGATGCCTGTTCTAAACACTTCTGGTTTCCAAGCATTTCAGATGAAGGATCCTCAACCTGTAGTAAAAGTAACAGCAACAACAGCAAGATTATAAGATTATAATGATTCATAATAATGAGATATTTTTATACGTTTTGGCATGAATGGTTTTGACCAAAAATGAGACCGTGGATGGAAACACAAAAGAACAGAACATTACAACCTACCCTCATCTGCACAGCTTTTTTCCTTTTCTGTGGCTGACAGATAGTAATACCAGCTTTCTCCAAACTGTTACCCTTCAGAGGAGTTAGAATAAACTCTTACCATTCTTACTCAAGGTTAATTGCAGCAATGATTATTTTAGAGCAAGATGTCTGAATGATCCAAAGCTAGAAGAGACTGCTACTGACACTAGATAGTACAGATAATTTCTAGGGTCAACAATTCCATTTAATACAATGGATACTTACTTGGGCTTGGCAGCTTTCTTGAGTAGTACTGACTCTGAGCAAAAGGCAGTCTTCACTTTCTCATGTGTTCCACATGTTGTACTGCAACCAAATGACGGTCGGTTGGGAGGATTTTGGCTGGCTTCCACATCTGTGCTGGTAGTGATAGGGAGGGATGTATTAACCAGGTGATCCAAACACTTGTTGTCTGTCACCTTGCTGTGTTGGGCAGAAGGAGATGAAGAATTCAGGTTTGACAACTCAGAATTCAATATCTTGGAGTCTTCATTTCGGTCTTCCTGGCTGGCAATGGATGGAGTATTGGGTCTTGAGGCATGTTGCACTTCTATGACTGGGAGATTGCCTTTTTTACTGTGGTGGCAGTTCATGTGAAGCTTTCTCATGTGGTGGACAACAGCTGCAGCATTGAAGGCTTGCTGGTAAAGAAGAGAACACATTTTGTGAGTGTGGCTAAATGATTAATGAACTATATGCCTGTTCTCAAATAATGCTTTTCTCAAATAAGGAAACAATGGAACCTAATCTCAAGTTCACTAGGCTGTACAACAGCCTCCTTCACTACAACAGGAGATGTTTATTTATTTATTTAAAACATTTATATTCTGCCCTTCTCAGCCCAAAGGGGACTCAGGGCGGAGCATGACATATAAGCGGCAAACATTCAATGCCAGGCATAAATAGACTTTGTGCATACATAATCATTAAAACATTAAAATCATTTATCTCCACATTAACTCGACTATTTAAACAATCTCAACTATCAGCATAAAATCCGTTTGGCATAGTAAGGATCCTATAGTTGTTGTGATTGCACCACCCCAAAGGCTTGGGATGAATCTACACTGTGGAAATAATGGGAGTTTGGCACCACGTGAACAGCCATAGCTCAATGCTATGGAATCCTGCAACTTGTAGTCTGGTGAAGCACCAGCCCTCTGTGGTAGGCAAGGGTAAAGAC